CCCAAAGTATTTTTTAAAAGCTTTCTTGAAAAGATGAATTCTTCTTCCTAGCCCTAGGATTCTGAGTAAAGATGACATCCTGGAACAGGAGAAGTCCAGGTTTATCTTTCTACTTTCTTACCTAGTAACCTGTTGGACTTAGAGAGTTGAGATTTCCACGGATGTTCAGTAAATCTAGGAATGGCTGAAATTAAAAAACAAAAACAAAAACAAAACTCACTTTATTTAGTCACAGATAATAATCACAATGCCAGAAGGTTATAGACACAAAGGCCAAAAGAACAAAGGAAAGCCACATCAGAGGCTGCCTGACAGCTTAAGACCTTTGTTTCCCTCTGCTTAATAAGAAATAAGTTATCATTGTCATCATCTTCCAAGCACCTCTCCTTTTTCTTCTCTTGCCCCTCTTAACCTCCTTGGGAGACTTGTCTTCTCTTGATGTGAAGTAATGTGATGAATGGTGAAACGGCTTGGAAGGCTTCTGGGTTTTAAAACTGCCAGAAGAGTAGGTTTTGGGGCCCCTAGGAAAATCCTCATCCACTTCACATGTCTGTCAGCCTTCCTGTGCTTCTCCCAGTTTCTGTTCTTGTTCTTCATTTCTTTTTGTGTTTCCTTATTTTATTGAGGCCACCTGTTGCTTTTCCACGCGGCACGGCCCTTCCTTATATAATAATGGGGGTTCTCATTTGCCATTTTTATCTAAGGTAGCTTGGATGGCTCTGGGATATCTCCATTTTTCTTCAGTACTTTTATTTTTTGTTTTAGTCTCTTTTCTCTCTCCTGAATTTCATATTTGTCATCGCAGTAGCAGATGAATGGAGATATTGGAGACGGGTCATACACTTCTCTTTCTGGACACTTGTGCCCAGAATTGCCTTTTGCATGCAGTGACAGTAATATGCTAAGGCTGATGGTCTTGAAGGGGTCTTTGGCTTTTTGGATGGTCCAGGTTTGGTCGTTAGGTGATACTGCCTCCAGATTTCTGTGCAAGTATCTGTATAGTGACCTAGCATATGACATCAGTCACACTGTTTATCCCAGGAATGTCTGAAAAGACATGAGTGGTCCAACATCTTAGGCACAGGACAGTATTCGCAAAGGGGGGCTGGCCAGGAATACAGGAGATGTCCTCTCCTGGAGCACAGGAAGCAGCAACGAACTTTTCCTGGTAAGGGACAGTTTTTTGTTAAATGGCCACATTTGTCACAATTTCTACAGATAATGCTTTTGTTGGCTGAATAATATCTCTGGGTGCATCTTCCAGGTGATTTGTTATTAGCTATCTCGGCCTCAATGTCTTTGTCACTGATGAACCAGTTTATACCATCTTCTCCTTCAGTAACAGAGTTTTCACATCCCGCAAGGTTGAGAAGGATTTCATCATCTCTATCATCTACTTCACATCCCAGTAGCATCCAGCTTTCTACATTATCGCCTTCTGAAATGGTGCTTTCTTCCTCTTCACTTGAACTGACCTCTATAATCATGAGCTCTCAGATTATACCTGATCTCTCTTCAGTATCACTCTTGCATTTCTTATCAACCAGCTCATTAGATTGAAGAGAAGCAGAAGGACCATGGGTATTTTCTTGTGCTTGAACTCTAACATTCTTTCCTTTACATCTATAAATACTATCTTCATCAGACAGTGATGACCTCTGAGCCATCTGAAAGCTGGATGACCTCACTATCTGAAAGGACAACCTTAGCCTCTTCTGATTTGGTTTACTACTCGAAGATTCCAAATTCCCAGAGTTCTTTTCTTCATGTTCTTCTTCCCTGATGACATCGCCAAGATCTTGGGCATAATAAATTCAGCTATAGAGTTGAAATTCCACCTCACTATCAACACTCATTTCACTAGATAACTCGTCTTGATAAAGATCATATTCGTATGCTTCTATAATCTCACAGCCACCAAACATCATAAAAAGTCAGTAACCTTGATGTGCTGGCTGCAACCTACTTTTCTTAATAAATTATAATGATGTAATATTAATCATTTATCTGTCATATTTCAAATATATTTTGCCAGTTTGTCATTTTAAAATTTTCATTTATGACTTTTTAATGTTCAGAAGTTTTAAATATTTATGTCTTCTATTAAAAATAATATCTATTTTTTTCTTTGTGATTTCTTCCATGGCATTAACATTCCCCATCTCAAGATTGGTGTAAATATTTGCCCATAATTCCTTCAACAGTTTTGGGGTTTTGTTTTC